TAAAGATATTGTGTCCAACTACAACTAAAAAACAAACATTTTAAAGACTGTAAGATAATACAAAACCAGACATTATTTAAAAAAAAAAAAAGACTACACCTTGTATGATTCCTCTTATATGAAATGCCCAGAGTAGGCAAATACATAGAAAGCAGCTTTATGGTTGCTAGGTACTAGGCAGGGAGCTGAGGGAGCAAGCCTTACAGAACAGCTTTCGAGGCTTGGGAATAGCAAGTACAAAGGATCTGAGGTGGAAGCATGGACTGATCCATGCACAGCAAGGCTAGCACATGTGCAAACCTGTAATTCCAGCTACTGGGGAGGCTGAGGCAGGTGAATCAAAAATTTGAGGCCAGTTCCAGCAGTAAGACCCTGCCTCARAATAAAAAGTAAAAAGGGCTGGGAATGTAGCTCAGTAATAGAAAACCACTAGGTTCAATATCTAGTACAAAAAAAAAAAAACGACCCAAAAACCAAAATAGCAAGGAGGCAGGTATACTTCAAAGGAGATAGTGATGGGAGGTGAAATCAGAGAATGGGTAGCAGGACCAAATCATTTAGGGCTGTATGGATCACTGTCAGGACATTGGTTTTTTGTTGTTGTTGTTTTTTTTTTGTTGTTGTTGTTGTTGTTGTTTTTGGTCCTAGAGATAAAGCCCAGGGGTACTTGACTACTGAGCCACATCCCCAGCCCTTTTTTACTTTTAATTTTGAGACAGGGTCTCACTAAGTTGCTTAGAGCAACTTGCTAGTTGCTGAGGCTGGCTTTGAACTTGTGATCCTTCCTGCCTCAGCCTTCCAAGCCGCTGGGATTACAGGTGTGCACCACCAGACCCACCAGGACATTGGCTTTTACTTGGAGAGAGATGAAATACTATTGGCAGTTTTGAGCAGAAGAGGGTATCTCAAGTTGTTTGTTTGTTTGTGTGTGTGTGTGTGTGTGTGTGTTACTGGGGAATGAACCCAGGGCTTACACATGCTAGGAAAGCATTCTGCCTTTGAGCTATATTCCCAGCTTGTCTATCTTACATCTTAACAGGATCCTACTGGCAGAGGATGGACTGACTATAAGTGGGCAAGTTTCAAGGAACAGGAACCGTTTAGAATCTACTGCATTAGTTCAAGCAAGAAATGACTCTGACTTGGGTCAAGGTGACAGTGGTAGCTATAGAGGTAGGGAGAAATGGCTCTATTTTGAAATCAGAGCTGACATCCAAGCATAGTGGTACAAAAACTATAATTCCACTGACGCAGGAGGCTGAGGCAGGTGGATTGCAAGTTTGAGGCCAGCCTGAGCAATTTAATGAGATCTGTGTCAAAATACAGAATAGAATAGGCTGGGGATATAGTATGATGATAGATTGCCTTTAATCCCAGTGGCTTGGGAGGCTGAGGCAGGAGGATCTCAAGTTCAAAACTAGCCTCAGCAGAAAGTTAGGTGCTAAACAACTCAGTGAGACCCTGAGAAATAAAACAAAAAGAAAAAGAGCTGACCTTCAAGCTGTTGACCTGAGCAACTAGGAGATTGAAGTTGGATTTTATTGAATGGARGAAGACTGTGGGAAGAGTCCTGCTCACAAGTAGACAGAAGGTATAGCAGAGCATAGATCAATTTAAAATCTCTTTTTCTAAACATTAAACCATAAGCATTTACTGAGAAGCCAAGGAGTCTTCATAATAATCACTTTTGAGGGCTGTGTGTTCCATTCAATTCATTTAACCTAAATTATACAACTATTTCCTTTGTTAATCATTAAGACTTTTATTTAATTTTCAAAATTACAGATAATACTCTAATGAATATCTTGTGCTGATTTTTTTCTTTCTGTTTTTTTTCCAAGAGATTAATTCTCAGAAATGGATTTACTAGGTAAAAGAGTAAGAGTACTTATTGGCTCTTGAGACACATTGCTGAACTGTTTTCCAAAAAGATTGTGGCAGATTTTAAGGTCATCCAAAACTTAGAGTGTAGTAATGTCACCACAAATTGGACAATATGTGACATTAGAATTTTAATTTGCCCCAGTAAAGGGGTTAAAAGATTCCTATTTTTAAAAATTTCATACACATTTGATTACAGTTAAGATTGAACACATTTTAAATTTCTTTGTGTGTCTCTGGCTGTGAACTGATTGTTCAGGTCCTTTGCCCACTTATTTACTTAGGTCCTAATATCTCCCTTACTTATTTTTGAATTTTTTCCTAAAATGAAGATAAGGATGTACCCTTTGTCAATATTTTTAGTAAAAATATTTAAAACAAACAAGTTCTGTTGAAATGATTTCGATGCCTTTTGAGAAAATGAAAAAAGAAACATTATATAATTTTATTCTATTTTGATGGTTTTTTAATTTAAAAATTGCCATCTTGATTGAAAAAAAAATTTTCTTATGGCACACCTAGAATGAGTAGTAGTGGTTACAGATAAGGGCCTACCTTCTAGATCCTTCTCCTGAGTAGCCAAGTTTTCCCATAATCTGGTACAAACTTATCTTACTGATGATGTCTTGGGGCACTACACGGTGAAGGGTTGGGGGCAGAGGGCTTGTTCAGAGGAGGGTGGCCTGCATCTTGGGCCAACACAGAAAACAGAAAATAGCCTAGGGCCAACACAGAAAACAGATCCCAGCTCTATCCTCCAGCTGCCCCCAGGCAGAGCACTTGGTTGTGGGAATTAGTCCCTTTCAGTATTGAGAAACTGAAGTTCTCAGGGTTCTACACTTTTCTGCCTGTAAATCTTTGTGGCACCAGTCTCTTCTATATCCCCTTTCTCTCTCCCTTTTTATGAGACAGAATCTCACAAATTGCCTAGGTGGCCTAGAATTTGCAATCCTCCTGCCTCAGCCTCCTGAGGAGCTAGGATTACAAGTATATACCACCRCAGCTGACTGACTTTTACCTCTTTAAGGTCTGAGTCAGATGCTATCAGCTGAGGAATCTTAAATCCTCCCTCCCCTGCCATCTGTCACCATCTGAGACTTCTAAATTTCTCCCTCACTAGACTTGGAGGGCAGGGTTGGATCTTAGTTATTTCTTTGAACCCTCAGAGTACACCATAAGGACTCAGCTTGGAAACCTTTGTTGAAAAGTCCCTGGAGGAAGTTTCAAAATCAAGAGTATTGCTCCACTACTTGGGAGATTTCCTAGTGTGGATGCCATCATACATCATAATTTACTATCTGTGCCTCAGTTTCACTATATGGTTGTTGTGAAGATTAAATGGAGGTTGGATAAAGCCATTCAATGTTTGTTTTATAATCACCGAGCATTATAATCACTGAGCAGTAAGCACTTGGTGTACTAGTCTCTGTTCYAGAAACAAAGATATAAGAGGTGCTCTCTGGGCTTGATGGTACACAGCAGAAAATAATTCAGTAGGGTTCTCAGGACAAATAGGAGCTGAGTATAGGAGCTCTGAGTAGGAGAGAAGATACATGGATGGGTCTTGGGGGGCTTCCCAAAGGAACGAACAGCTGAGCTGAGTCTTGACAAGTGGCTGGAATTTCAGCAGGTGGGAATGGGGCAGAAGGGCACATAGGTAGAGGGAATGGCATCAGCATAAGGGCAGAGGGTGAAACACCACAGCATTTGGGGGCTGGGGGCTGGCCAGCAGTTCTACTTGGCTGGTGTTACAGAGCTTTGGGGCTGGAAGGAGTAGTGGAAAATAGGATGAAAAAGACAGCAGTGGCAGAAGAAAGCAAGAGTGAGTCAGGAGATTTTTAAATGCAGGATAAGCCCTAGTCAGAGCTGTGCCTGAAGGAAAGGACTGAGAGAAAGGACTGGAAGGGGCAGGTAGCTGGTGAGGAGGCTGTTGTAACAGTCTGTTCAAAACATAGTCAGGCACAGAGGGGCAGTGAGGATGGAGAGGACTGTAAGAGAACACTGCAGGGCTCGGTGCAGGACAGGGTTTGAGGGGAAGAGATTAATGACAGCCCTGTTTTCAGACTAGGTTGCAGATTAAGCTGCAATTTATTTTATCTAAAGAAAGTATTTGGCATCACTTCTCCAATGCACTCATTAATTTTCTAGGTGGATAATTCCTCTCCTGATAGAACACTTTCCAGGATAGGGTGGGAGGAGGAGACCTGGTCGCAGTTACCCTTGGCACCCAGCTAAGGGTCCTGGGGTGGGGAAAGGATGAGGGGGAAGATATTTCCTCAGAGAAGCTTTCCCTGCCTTCCACGATTGGTTTGAATCATAAGCCATAGTTGACTGCACATTTGTGAGATACTTGATGGATGATTGTCTTTCCCACTGGAAATATGAGCTCCAGTACTTAAAACAGTGCTTGACATCTGGTTGGCACTTAGAAATATTTGTAGAGCTGTAAAAATCTAAGGACCGATCAGTCGTTGCCCGGGACTGAGAATGGAAGCAGGGACTGACTGCAAATGGGCACTAGAAATATTCCCATGTCAAAAACTGGATTGTGGTGATGGCCGTTCAACTGTTTACATTTACTAAACAATCATCGAACTGTACACTTACAGCGAGTACATTTTTTTAAGCCTTTATTTTATTTATTGTTATGTGGTGCAGAGGCTTGAACCCAGCGCCTCGCGCATGCAAGGCGAGCGCTCTACCACCTGAGCCACAGGTCCAACCTCCAGAGGGTATAGTTTAAGATATATAAATTATACCTCAATAAAGCTGTTAAACATAAAAACTATGATTTGTGGAATGAGTAAATGATTTCTCGGTTCACGGGATTGTAAACTCCCGCGCGTGAGAGGCGCGATCTCTCTCCAACTCTAGAAAACCGGCACTTCGTACGTGCACAACAAACGTCTTACTGAAACAGCGAATCAATGAATGAAAAAGGTGGTGGCTTCCCGGAGATCCTGGACCCGCCGCTTCCGGGTCGCAGAACTGTTCCTGGATCGGTGCGTCACCSCGAGAYGAGCCCGGCGATTGGCCAATAGGAACAGCAGGGAGTGAGCGCGGAGAAATACCAAGGCGGGCCGGAGGTGGGGCGGGGCATYGGGGGCGGGGCCACGCGGGGCGGGCTCCGGAGGCCGGTGGCGCGCAYGCGCCCTACTACCACCGCTGTCGCTGCAGTGAGAGAAGCTGGAGCGATGGCCGGGTCCGCGTGGATCTCCAAGGTGAGTGCTGGCAGGCCGGCATGTGCAGGCTGGCAGCAAGAGCAGGCAGGCCGGCGAACCGCGTGCTGGGTGAGGACGGCTTACGGGACCCGATGGGCAGGTGGCTCGCGGTCCTCGTAGACAGTTTGGGAGTCTGTTCTCGCTGCTGGTGCGAGGCGCTTGGTGGCCGGCACCCAGGGTCTGGGCAGCCCTGAACCCGGACAGCAGCGCCTCAGGCGACGACGACGTCAAGGTCAAGGCGGGGGTACCGGCCCTGCTCCGGATATTACCATCGACCTTCTCCAGGGCCACCGCCTGGCCTCGCGAGCCGGGGAAGGTCACGGAGCCCCCGCCTGGGCTCCGCGGTCCTGGCTGCGGCCCTGCGGATGGTACCCACAGCCCCAGAGCACGGCTCAGGCCTTTCTGGGGTCTGCTTGGCTCTCGGCAGGATAACCGCAGGATCAGGCGTAGGGAAGTGGGATTTCCCAGGTGAGGAAATCCCGGGGCTGTTTTTCATGCCAGATTTTGTCCTCCTTGGAGTTCTTCCCAGTCCGACTCTGTGCTCTTGTGTCTATTTCCCCTTTAAAGGGCACAGGGCATTTACATCTTGGCATTACTATTTGAACCCTGGGAGAGGGAGACTCACAGCGTCTTCCTTTTATCTGTTTATTAGTGGGAATCTTGCGATCTGGAAAGCTCAGTTGCTAGARCTGGAAAGGATTTCAGATTATCTTCGCAGTTCCTTGGTTTTTCAGAGGAAAGAACCTAACAGATTTGCTCAAGGTCACACAGGAAGTAGGTGGCAGAGCTGGGAGAGGAACCCAAGTGTCTTGGTTCACATTTTCAACCTTTTTTAAAAATTTTTTTTCCCCAGTACTGRGTATCAAACCCAGCAACACATGCGTGCTAGGCAAATGCTCCGAGGTAGGCAGATGCTATAGAGCTACCTCCCCAGCCCTCTCACTTCCATTCTGCCAGCTCTGTGGCCAAGGTCACATAGTAAATTATGTGTAGTACAAGGAATAACATGATTTATTAGTCTCCTGTTGCTCTTAATGGGTGGTCCCCTTGGAGTCTACCATAAGCAACTTAATTTTTCTATAAAACTTGTTACTATTTTTCTCCTTTTTTTTTTAAGTTTAAAGATAGGTTCAGGGATACACTGTTATTTAGTGATARTATTTCTACACTGGAATTTAGTAATCCTAGGTTTAAATCCTGGCAGTGCCATTCTTTGGTTGCATGACTCTAAGCAAATTACTTAACTTCTCTGAGCCTTAATATGCACATCTGCAAAATATGTGTACTTGTGTCGCCAAGTTGATGGAGAATTAAATAAAATAATGAATGTGAAAACACCTAGAACATGCAGAAGGAACACAAAAATATGAAGCTTTTTTAGCCATCAGAATATTTATCTTGGCAGTCATCAAGAACACAGTGGTTCGTGGGTATCAATAACTGGGTTTTTTTGCTCAGTAACTAGATTGACTTTGTCACTCTTCTCAGATTGGGATTTGCTTGGGATGGTAGCTGTTATATTTACTTCTAAAGGTAAAATAACCTCTGTTTCACTGTTAAAACAATCCCTCAATCACTGGGCTTGCACTTAACACCTAATTCATCTTTGGTAGGTACACTAAACCTTCAGAATGAGGGACTAAAGCAACACAGTTGATAATGAATGTGTTGATGAATTTGTTCTGCTTTTAGTGTGATCTGCAAGAAAAAACTCTCATATTGGGAGTGTAGAAAGCATCAATCTGTGGGTCAGAAGATGAAGTTCTCTGACATGAACCCCCAGTGTGATCTTTGGCAGAGTCATTTGACCTCTGGGCCAGTTTTTCCCTTTAGGGATTGGTGCTTCAGAGGTTGACCCTAGGATGGTGGGAGTGCTAAGTTGGATGCTGGGTTCAGAGCAGATCCTTTACTGGGTTTTAATTTATTTATTTGAAAAAGGGTATCTGTACCTTAAAAAAGCTTTTCACATAGAGAAAATAGAGGGGTTCTAAAGACTTCTGACTGTGAAATACTATAATGTCTGAGTTGCCATTAGCAAGCACTTATTGAGCCTACCCTACATCCATCCAACATTGTATCTATTATGTTTTTAAGATGGTGTATTAAGGTTTAAAAAGGAAGTGAGAAGCCAGGGATTAAGATGGCCCAGGGCCTGAAGTTCAGGGATCCAGTAAAGGCTCTGCAAGCCTGGCCTCAGTTTTCTCATCTGAGAATCTCTCTCTCCAGGTTTTATCAAAATACATAATGTGATATATATCTATATCTATATATATATAGATATAGATATGTGTGTGTGTGTGTAAAATAGGAGATAGGGCTCTAAAAACTCTTTAAAATTTTTTATTTAGTTGTAGCTGGACACTATCTTTATTTTTATTTATTTATTTTTATGTGGTGCTGAGGATTGAACCCAGTGCCTCATGCTTGTGAGGCAAGTGCTCTACTACTGAGCTATAACCCCAGCCCTAAAAACTCTTATTTTATTGAAGGTTCTAGGTCATTCTAATGTCTTTATTGATGGAGTATTGCTTTAACAGCTTGGAGGAAAGGTGACAAACATGGAAAAAAACTGTTATTGAGGAAAATTGTTTCATGTATTAAGTCTGGGTTACAGGCTATGGCTGTGGCACTGTGGCGGAGCGTTTGCCTGGCATGTGTGAGGCACTGGGTTTGATTCTCAGCACCATGTATCAATAAGTAAAATAAAGGTCCATTGACAACTAAAAAAATATTTTTAAAAATTTTAAAAAAAGTCTGGGATAGAAACAGAAACATGATTGAGGCTGGCCTCGGTGTTTACAAAAGTTTATTGGGCACCTCCTATGAGGCAGGCAAGGTCTAGGTACTGGAGATTCAACAGCAAACAAATCATAAAAAAAATCTTTGCACTCTTGGGGTTATATTTAAAGTTAGGTTTTTGAAGTCTTGTATCACAAGGATGTGAGTCTATTTTGTGTGTCTTTCCCTCTTTACTGGATGAGGTGGTGAGGTGGAGAGTGGGGAAAAGAACTTTTAAAGAATAGCTTTTAATTGGCCTCTTGTCCAATAATCCACCTGCTGGGTAGATGCATCTATGTTCTAGGATGATGATTTGGCTGAGAGCTTGGCATAGACCATTCTTTCAACTTGGCCCTGTCTTTTATTTTCAATCCAGAGACATGACTATGTATATATAGGATTATAGAATATAATTCATACACACTTTCTTGAATATTAGTTTTTGTCCCATCATTTGTAGGGCCAATATTTCAACAAAGGTTCAGGCTCCATAAGGGAAGACTAAGATAGGATGTAACAGATGTCTCTTTGCTCTTGTATTTAGCATGAAAAAAAGTTACATTTAGCATTTTTAGTGAGTTTTAATGCCTTTATTATAATGTGACTTTACCAGTCCTCAAAGATTGAGTTATTAAAGTTTGAATTAATCTTTTAAAATTTATATTTTTGATGTATGATAATGTTGATTGGGGGACATTAACAGTGGTGATGTCTTGGAGTGGTGGGATTACTGGGTGCCATTTTTTGTATCTTTTTCTAGTCCGCCCAAATTAACAATAGTGACCATATTATCTGTATTAGCAGAAGAAATAAAGTTATTTAAAATCTTCACTCTGCATGGCACAGGCATCAAGTGGTTAGGAATAAACTTTCTTAGATTTCAACATACAGTGTATTTTCTTTCTTTCATTCTTTTTTTTTGTACTGTGGATTGAATACAGGGGCACTTAATCACTGAGTTACATCACCAGCCTCCCCCCCTTTTTTTTTTAGTTATAGATGAATACAATGCCTTTATAATTTTATTTGTTTATTTTTTATRTGGTGCTGAGAGTCACACCCAGTRCCTCACACATGCTAGGCAAGTTCTGTACCATTGAGCCCACAACCCCAGCCCATTTCCAGCTCTTTTTATTTGTTTTTATTTTTTGGTACCAGGGATTGAACCAAGGGGTGCTTAACCACTGAGCCATATCCCCAGACCTTCTTTTTTCTATTTTATTTGGAGTCAGAGTCTTGCTRAGTTGCTTAGGACCTCACTAAATTGCTGAGGCTGACTTTGAACTAGTGATCCTCCTGCCTCAGCCTCCTAAGATGCTGGGATTATAGCTATGTGCCACTGCACACAGCTTTATTTTTTGAGACAGGATTTTACTAAGTTGCTTAGGGCCTCATTAAATTGCTGAGGCTGGCCTTGAACTTGACATTTCTCCTGCCTCAGCCTCCCGAGTCCCTGGGATTACAGGTGTACACTACCACACCTGGCATAAAGTGTAACTTCCTAATATTCATAGGAGAAGAGTAAATGTAAAGTATGGTTGGAGATACACTGGTCAATGAGGCAGAAGACCTGGATTCTGGTTTTCCATTTTGCCAGATAGTTGCTGTGACTGTAGGCATATTGCTACCCTTTGGACCCAATGATTCCACCTGTGAAATAAATGAGTTGTGCTTTGGATTTCATAAGCACCTTCCAGGATCTAAAGTTATTGGTACTTTTCTTAAAGAATATGTTACCCCTAAATTGACCTGGAGGTTAAGAATGTTGATGTAAAACCATTCATATCAGAGAAAATTTCAGTATTTGAGCTTAAAAAGTATAGTTTTATTCTCAGATCACAGATAAAACATGAAATATTTAGGTTTTCAAATCTGAACAAGCTAGCTACATTGAGCTAAGATGTGATAAAGGTATTCCTGCGAAGTGCCCAAATTTGCAAATTTGCAGCACTAAATGTTGTTTAATTCTGTGGATAACATTTCTCTGTTGATATTAATGTAGGTCTCTCGGCTGCTGGGTGCATTCCACAATCCAAAACAGGTGACCAGAGGTTTTGCTGGTGGTGTGAGTATAATTATGTCTTTTATTTTTCCCTTTTAGAAGTTTCTCAAGAAAGATGCTCTAATACATCTATTATATAGCATTAATCTCCATTTATTTAAATCTAGGGAAATTTGACCATGCTTTTAATGCATATTAAAATTATTGGCTAACATATACACAAACCTATTAGGTCACTTGCATATGTAAAAGAATCATATTACAGCAGGCTATGTAAGCCTGTCACATTAATATCTTGAAGGAGCCTTGTTATAAAAATAGAATTATCCTTGAGCCTATTACTTTATTTCACAATCTCATTTTGGTAAGACAATTTTTTTTCCTTAAAACTAGTGCAAATTGAGAGAAAATTGTTGAGAAGCTTCAAAACCTGCTTTGCATTTTTAATTTGTGAGCTTCCCTAAAAACAGTAGATTGCCAATTAGGAATTTCTCAAATACTTATAAGCCCTGTAGGCTTATACTTTCCTTATACAGTCTTTATAGACTATCATTTTAGTGGATCATCTATTGCTCATTAAATCTGCTGCTTTTAGAATTCCTAGCATTAGAGTTCTGTGCTTTCAGAACTGATACCACATTTTTGGAACATTCTGAGACTGTGGGTCAGTGATTTCCTGTTCATTTTTATTTTATCCCCTTTTTATAGAATCTGATTTGATTTGAATTTCATAATTCCTATACTCCCATATAACATTTTATGCCATGAAGAATTTATAAGACCATAGTACATTTTTTCCATTTATTTACATTTTGTGCTGTGGAAGAAAATTCTAATTTTCTCATGGCCTGATGACATTGGGAGAACAGGAAGAAGCCAAAGGGTTCTTTTGGTTCTGCTTTTGCAAAAAATGCAGAATGAGGCTTGCACTTCAAGTTCAAGGATGGCTAAGCTGGCATTTCAAACATGTTCTGAAAGCTGATAAAGATGATCATTGCTATCTGCTGTTATTTAATTTTCAGTTATCTSTTCTTTAAAAATATTAGCTTGGTGGAAGGGATTATTTTCAAGAGAAATAAGAGGAGATATTTATTTTTAAAAAAACTTCTTCAACTGTATAGAAAAATTGAGAATTAGTCCACCTGCCCAGGAGGGATCATTGGAAGGCAAAAGAGAGAAACTTCTTTCAAAAAACATATAGATCAAGCAACTGGAGCCTGTTGAAATGAAGTTCCCAACTAATAAAATGATAGTTTCCATTAAAATCTTCTGATTTTCCCCCCTTATGTATTTTTATTTCTACATTTGAAATGCTGGCTAGTTTTGGACAAATCATTGATATTACATCATAAGTAAACTTACTGTTGTTCTAGGTCTAATTCAGGCTTTGCAGGTCTGCTCATGTTTTATTTTTATTGGTTACAAATCACATTGCTTATCATTTATATTATACTTACCATTAAGAAGGCAGTTTTTAGGGGAACTAAGAAAAGTGAAGGCCCTCTCTTGATGTAAGGCCTGTTTTTTTTTTTTTTTTTTTTCCTGAGTGTCAAACAGAGCTCTGATATTTTAGAAATGTGTCTGAAAGAGCTTTGTAAGCCTGAAGAAGTTGCAGAGGGAACTTTTCCAGGATCACATGGACAGGAAAGTTGTCTTCATGAGGAACTCTCTAAATTTTAGTGTGAGAACATTGTTGAAATGTTTTTGCTATCTTTGTTTTATAGAATTAATTAGTCTGGGAGCTTGTCTGTAAAGAAATATCAGTTGGGAGGTCTACTTGGTGGTTTAATTTATTTTTGTTTTATTTAAAAGAGCATGATTTGGGTTGTTAAAAACCTCTGAACTCAGATAAAGAACAGTCAGGGAAAAAAGAATGTGCTGGAAGATGGAATCAGATTTCCCAGCCTCACACAGCAGAGGAGGAAGTGAGGGAGAAAAGCGTGGCAGTCCCCATGAGGAACCAGGAAGAAAAAGGAGCAACTGCAAATTCAGACTTGAGGTGTCTGAGGTCCAAAAAGCGGGCTTGCAGCCTTAACTGGAGAGTAAATCTGAGCAGAGAGTCACTGGAGGTGCCAAGAGATGTGCAGAAAACCTAAATAAGGATAAGGACACAGTATACATCAAGTAAATAGGAAGCAGAAGTCACCGGGACAGTGAAGATATTTAGCAAAGAAATTTTAGAGGGAAAAATATATAATAAAGTTAGTTTAATGATAAATTTTTAGTATAATTTTTGATATCAGTATAAAAGTGAATTCTTTAAGTAATGATATGGGTGTGTTTAAGGGAWGGAAGAATTTTTGGACTCTGGTTTGTCTTTAGAACCCTGCAAGGGGTCTACAAGGGGCATTGCTGCCCAGTTCCTCAGTGGTTACAGTTTATGTCTGGGGCAGCTGGGCAAAGCATGTTTCCTTCATATTGTAGAATAAAGCCCTGCTTCCTGAAAAAAAAAAATAATAATAGAATTGTGGAATATCTTGTCTATTGATTCCTATCTCCACTTTGATTGTCTTGGGGAAGGTTTGTCTATTTTCTTAGCAGCATTTGAATCTTTCTGAAGCACCCCTATAAAGTGGATTTCTGTCACTGATTTTTTTTTAACCCTTCAAAAATCAATTCTTACTATTTTCCTTTAATGATTTCTTGTATTCAGGTTCAGACAGTAACTTTAATTCCAGGAGATGGAATTGGCCCAGAAATTTCAGCTGCAGTTATGAAGATTTTTGATGCTGCCAAAGTAAGTTGGCTTTAAAAAAAAAAAAATCTATATAATAGCAATTTGTGGAAGAGTTTCTATGAACTCTTTGGATGAATTGCATACATTTATTTCCATAGAGTTGGTAAGGTCTGTTAGTCTCCATGGATTTTCAGTTTAATAATGCATGTTTCAGCATTATTTGTTACCCACCATTTTATTTTTGATATATTTCACAGTGCTTATCACTGAGAAGCTTAGTGTTTACTAGGTTTTAAAAATATATATATCCCTTTAATGGATATTCAATACAATATTGTTAATATAATTTACGCTGATATAAATTTTGCCAATATAGTTTTGTTCATGATCATGATAATACTTAATGACAGACTGAAGCAGTGGGCTTAGAAATAGAGTAAAAACTTCCAGACCTGTCAGACCTAAAATCAAATTAGGGCTTCAGCTCTTACCAGCAGCTGCCTCACCTTAAATAAGTTGTTATATCATTATGGACAAATTTTCACACAAGGTTATAAAGATTAAATATTAGGAATGTAAAGCCCTCAACTCAATAATCTCATCCTTCATGATTCCTGAATAAATGTGTTTTCTAGCTGTACCAAACATCTAAGTTTTAGATGGTCAGTGTGTAAATCTTAATGCTAACTTGAGCCTCTACTGCTTGACGTTCTTTCTCCCTGTGCTCTGACTGGAGCATGGCTACCTTCTGTCCTCCGACACAACAGATACTATCTGAGCTGGTGGTGCCAATGGCAGTGTGTGTGGCAGAATCTCAGCAGTGTCTTGGCACTTAGTCCCATAGCAGCTTTGAATTTGTTCTGTGAGCTACTCCCAATAATTCTTTTTATCTTTAAGCAAACAGTTCTTATTGCTTCTAAACAAGACCCCTAATTTGTATACTTTCATAAAACGAATGAACTAAAAGTAAATTAGAAACAGTGCCATGAAATTATTCCAATCTTTTCCTTTGTGACTAAATATACATAGACAATGGAATTAATGTGTTTTTCTGTTGTAAGAGAGGTGCAGTATATCAAATTCCACTTGTTGAGTTTTATTCAAATAGTCCTCCAGAGAAACATTTTTTCCCCTTACTAGGGATTGAACAAAGGGRCATTTTACACTGAGCTACATCCCTAACCATTTTTATTTTTTATTTTGAGACCGGGTCTCACTGAGTTGCTTGGGGCCTTGCTAAATTGCTGAGGCTGGTCTTGAATTTACAATCCACCTTCCTCAGCCTTCCAGGTCACTGGGATTACAGACATGTGCTGCTGTGCCTGGCTTGCATGAAGATGCCTTATACCCAATATTTCTTAAATAAGGAAGAGAGTCTAAGTGTTTTTAGTGTAACTTTCAAGTTTTTGGATTTTATGATATGCTTCATCATCCATATTTTTTTCTCTTTCATCAATGATTTTCTTAAGCCATCAGTTAGATTATGTCTCTGACAGCCTTTCATAGCTCCATGGTCACAGGCTGATTTTTGGTGGATTATTACAGTATATATTTTTCACATTTTTTTTTTCTAACACTGCATTCATAGTAGTCCAATTGTTTTCTCAGACACTTTCTCAGAGTCCTCAACTAGCCTGAGCCAGTTCTGCATTGAAAACTCTCAGTGCAAAAGCAGAGCTGGAATTCTGCAGGAAGCAGCCAGGAACATAAGTAACTTTCATAATCTCATTTCTACAGCAGCTCCAGGCAGTAGTGGTCAGTACCTGAAGCATTCTCAATCTGCTGATTTCCACCACATTCTGCTGGTCATAGTATAGGTGTTCAGAAACCCCAGGGCTCTGGCCATCATAGGTACAGGTGGTCGAGGCCAAGCCACAGCAGGCCAGGCAGAGAACCCAATGTGGAGGCTCTTGTTACTGTCATTGTTGGTAGTTTAAAATCTACTATATATTAAGTTATTGAAAGTAGTACTGCTGTATTTGTGGAACTTTGAACCCTGCCTGGATTAAGGTCCTTAAGCTCTGCCAAATTACCTGTCTATCTTGGTATACCTTCATGTCAAAACAGAATATAATTGATGTTTAGTTAAATAGAAAACTTTTAAAAAATCTTTTCTTTTTTTGGTGCTGGGAATTGAACTCAGGCCCTCATGCACATGCTAAGCACATACTGTATCACTGAACTATGCACCTCTCCCCCAACCCCCTGAAAGAGTATTTAAAAAAAAATTCTAATGTAGTATTTTCATTAAGACTGGGATGGGTTGTATTCTATATGTGTAGTAAGAATTGTAATACATACTGCTGTCATGTACTTAAAAAAATAAAATCAATTAAAAAAAAAAAAAAAGACTGGGATGGGGTATTACTACTTCTGGTAGCCCAGCTGTAGATTTAGGTAAATATTTTAAAATACTTTTGGGGGTTTAGGAAACTTGATGCTTTATTATTATTTATTATTATTCCTTAAACATGCTAGGTGAAATAATGTATAAAATGAAATAAGTGCCTATTATAATACTAATAGTTATAAGCTGAGCAATGAAATCCACTTAAATTATACAAACATTWTTTTTCCTATGTTTCTAATTAAAACTCCTATAGGTCTGAGGTTGTGGCTCAGTGATGGAGCACTTGCCTAACATATGTGAGGCATTGGTTTCAATTCTCAGCACCACATACAAATAAATAAATAAAATAAAAGATCCATCAACAACTAAAAAATATTTGGAAAAAAGCAAAAACAAATTCTAACAGARGACGCAATGCTTATAAAGTGACAGATTCCCCAAGCAAACTGCAATATGATTGCTCAACTTGCTCTTAAGCTCTATAGGAACAAAGACCTTGTCTTATTCTGTACTTTTGTCCCTAGGACTTGCTCGATGTGTTGGTTGTTGAATATGTGTGTACATACACACAAGGATGTGGGTAGAAAGAAAGGGGACCCTGGTTTATACCTTAAGTTGGTGCCTTTAGGTTATATAACATTTCTGATTTTTTAAAAACAGTTTTATTGAGATATTATTCTCCATACTTTTCTATCATTAAACATATACAATTCAGTTTGATAGTTTTAGGTATATTCACAGAGTTGTGAAACCAACTACAGAATTTTGAAACTTTGTGTGCATGGGGGGTACTGGAGATTGAACTCAGGGCCTTGCACATGCCAGGCAAATGCCCTACTACTGAACTACACTCCCAGTCCTAATTTTGGAAAATTTTTATTTTTCTTATTTATTTTTGGTACTGAGGACTTAACCCAGGGGCACTTTACCACTGAGACATATCCTTAGCCCTTTATTTTTTTATTTTTTGAGATAGGGTCTCACTATGTTGCTGAGGCTGGTCTCGAACTTGAGATCCTCCTGCTTCAGACTCCTGGGATTACAGTCCTTCACCACAGTTTCCAGCTTGAAAGATTTGACCAACCAAAAAGAAAACTATTACCCAAGAGCAAATTTTTATACCCTGATCCCTGATCCTTTCCCCTCCCTTGCCCCAGGCGACCACTTATCTACTTTCTTTTTTTTTTTTTTTAAGAACTTAACCTTTATTTTACTTGTTTTTACGTGGTGCTGAAAATCCCAGTGCCTCACCTGTGCTAGGCAAGTGCTCTATCACTGGGCTACAACCCCAGCCCTACTTTCTGTTTCTATAGATGCCTTTTCTGGACATTTCATATGAATGAACTTCTATAACTTATGGTCTTTGGAGCTGGGGTTGTAGCTCAGTGGTAGAGTGCTTACCTAGCATGTGTGAGGCCCTAGGTTTGATTCTCGGCATCACCTGTAAACTTAAAATATTAAAAAAAAATATGATCTTTTATGATTGATTTCTTACACTTATTGTAGTATTTTCAAAGTTCATCCATGTATCAGTACTATAAAGTGTTTCTGTGAACCACAATTCTCCACTCCTTAGGATATTTTAATTACAGCCACCTTAAGAGTTCTTGTAAAGAAAATAAGTGAGCAGATGGCAACTGGGAACATTGACTGGGCCAGAATAATGTGGAGACTCCCTGTGGGCACGCTAGAGAATGACACCTCTGTTCTCATGCCAGGAACTATTTGGACCTTATTGTATGTGTTTTTACCAGTTGTGCMCCAAATTCCAAGTTTATTTATCAGACCATATGTTATAGAAGTTTATCATTGTAGTGTGAATGTCAGTCTCATTGAGTCTTTCCAGTTCACTGTGCTCTGGTGTGGCATCTAGGCACCTATTCAGTGGGAGGAGCGGAATGTCACTGCCATTCAAGGACCTGGAGGAAAGTGGATGATACCTCCGGAAGCCAAAGAGTCAATGGACAAGAACAAGATGGGATTGAAAGGTAGCACTGAAGTGGAAATGATGGTTATTATTGATTTCTGCTCCAGGTGTCACATTTTCAAAAGTTCCTGCACATAAGCTAAATAAGACCTGGCATCAATTAAAGTAAAGCAATCCTTTTGTAAAGTCAACCCTCGGAGTAAGATACTTTGTTTTTTGAGACATTCTTTTCAAACTCCAGAAAAAACATTGAAGTATTACTAGCCAATACCAATGGACAGTATACAGTATGTGTTTATCTTCAACTAGATTTGTCTTGTGCCTAATTTCTACATTTTTATTTTAATACACATTTAAGGTCATGATTCAAAATTACTAGCATGTTACATAGAAATTTGGCACAGGCTGTAAATCCATAGACAGATCCACATATGAATCTCATTTTGCCACTTACTGAGAAGCTTGGGCAAATTTCTTATCTTGGAATTGTTTTTCACCCTTCATTTTTGAATGACCCTTGTTCAGTGATTGAGGTTTGGATAATGTTGAGCAGCTGATACAGTGCTTGTCCTCAGGATGTTCTGAAGATGAGAAATGCAGTTCATGTTCTAGAAAACTCCTGGGAGGATATGTTCCTCCTTACCTGGATCTGAGGGAGTGGGTAAAGTTCGAGACAGAACACAGTTTATAAGGGGGCTTCTAGTGGGATAGTAAGACTAGAATGTATTCTGTTGTCATCTGGGTATTCTTTATTACAGGCCCTTTAAAGACCCCAATAGCAGCCGGTCACCCATCTATGAATTTATTGCTGCGTAAAACATTTGACCTTTATGCCAACGTCCGACCATGTGTCTCAATTGAAGGGTATAAAACTCCTTACACTGATGTAAATATTGTCACCATTCGAGAGAACACAGAAGGAGAGTACAGTGGAATTGAGCATGTGGTATGTTCACTTTGGATACTTTTCTGTTCTTAAGTTGCTTTCTGTRTACTTGGGACAATTGTTCAAATTCTCAGTTGAAAATGTCTCCCAAAGACAGCTCAGCTTTACCATGTGAGGAGTTGTGTGTGTTTGTCTTGGTGCTGGGTCTCTGGTTGACTCTACTCAAATGGAAGCCAGGAGGAACAGAGCTTGGTGTGGCTTAGGGTACGGGCCTGGGCATCTGGGCATTCCCCATTTCTCAGGTATGCTTTTGGGCAGGTGACTACCTCTGTACTTCAGTTTTGCTTCTCTGATACCTACCTCAGAGCCTGGTTTAATGTTAACTCCATTGACATACTATCTGTGTGATGTGGCCATGCTGGCCGACCCCATGCAAGCATGCCACAGTGATGTGGTTTACATGTGGCTAGCCAATGAGTTGTTGCCACATCCTTTCCAGTGTTCAGGGCTTTTTCTTCTTTCAGATTGTTGATGGAGTTGTGCAAAGCATCAAGCTCATCACTGAGCAGGCGAGCAAACGCATTGCTGAATTTGCCTTTGAGTATGCCCGGAACAATCACCGGAGCAATGTCACAGCTGTGCACAAAGCCAACATCATGTGAGTTCCTGTAGGGGCCAGTGCTCCATCTTGCTTTATTGAGGGGAGAGCAGTGACCAACCATCTCTTCTCTCCACCTTGCTCCTCCATCTAGTATCTCTGAAAAAGAACCCTGTACCAATCAGAGGGTCCAGCATTTCTCTTCTGTTAATCTGCTATTTGCTGGGTCTCACTGGGTATATGACAGGAGCAAAAGGCAAGGGACAGAATTGAGATCCTGGAAGTTAAGAAGGGACTAAGGGTTATCTGAAGAGAAAGGTGGAGATGATTTGGGGTCCTCAGATGCTGTGTCCAGTTAGCAGAGGCCATGTTATTTATGCTTTAGAAGTAAAATAGTGGGGATGTTTTAGAAATGACCTCATACTCAGGGTCTTAAAATAGTGCTAATGCTGTCTGATATGTTCCTCTAAATAGTTCAAATTATCCTCATGCCCAGGCTATTAAAGGCCATCTCTGAATATATAAACACTTCCTAACAAAGAAAAGTATGAAATTACAAAATAGTTAAACCATTTAAATAATGAAATTAGATTAACCTTTAAAACAATTTTAATAATATTAATGGGGTCTGGGAATGTAGCTCATTGGTAGAGTCCTTGCCTAGCATGCCTAAGGCCTTGGATTCAATCTTAAGCTATACACACACATACATACAAGTTAATAATATTAATGGTTATTTCTTAGATCTTGCTGGGTTAATATTATAAAGATCTACTCTTCTCTATCATGATCAAACTGTTTTACATTTTTATTCTTTTATGCTTTCAAAGGGATCCCAAAATATTTTGAACTTGCATTTTATTAACTGCCTAAGAAACCATTTTGCCATAATGAAATCAGACATCTTAGCTTTTGGAACTTAAATTTCTTGCATATAATTTACTTCTTTGATTTGATCCTTTTCTTTCTACAAGCCTTTGTTTTTCAGCAGTTTTTATTTAATTAAATACAGGCGAATGTCAGATGGGCTTTTTCTGCAGAAATGCAGGGAAGTTGCAGAAAACTGTAAAGACATTAAATTTAATGAGATGTACCTTGATACAGTATGTTTGAATGTAAGTATATATTTATACTTTCCTTTCTTTGAACAGTGTGCATGGTGTGCAATTTTTGATTGCTAAACGCACAATTATATTCCTTGTAGATGGTACAAGACCCATCCAAATTTGATGTTCTTGTTATGCCAAATTTATACGGAGATATCCTTAGGTAAGTCTCCCCCTTTTTAAAAATTTTTTATTACCTATAATTTATAAATATTTGTGTTAGCTTTCTGTTGCTGTGACAAAATACCTGAGATAAATCAAGGGAAGAAAGGTTTATTTTGGCTTACAGTTTCAGATATTTCAGTCCATGGTCTCTTGGAGCTATTGTTTCTGGGCCTGTGTTAAGGCAGAACCTCATGGTGAGGAGGGCATGATTGTTGATTTGCCATGAGGTGAACCAACTACCTTTTGACATAATTTCAGACTTCTAGTAAAGTTACATGAATAGTACAAAGAATTCCCTTATAGTCAGCACCTAGATCCCCCAGATGTTAACATTTTACCTTACTTAATCTTTTCCTCTTTCTCTCTCTTTCCCTCCCTTTTTACTTCCTCCCTTTCTCCTCCTTTTTCTTCTTCCCCTATTTCTCTCTCTCTCTTGCACGCGTGTGCGCACACACGCATGCACACACGCACGCACACACACACACACACACGTACACAAATATGATGTTGGGGCTGGGAGTATAGCTCAATGGCAGAGTGCTTGCCTAGCATGTGTGAAGCACTGGGTTCAAGTCTCAGCACTACATAAAATAAATAAAGGTACGTGTCCATCTATAACTAAAAAAAAATATGATGTTGGCCAAATGGTGTCTTTCAAACCCATCTTTCTACCTTTGTTAGTTGGCATTTTAATATAAAGATAAACTTTCCTTCTCATTTATTACTTGTTTACTTATTTATATCAGTGTGGACTCGTGGTTTTCTGTTTTCTTGAGTGGCAYGTCCATGACTGTCATCACTAATTGATACACAGATTGTTCCCACTTGGCCAGGGAAGCTCCTTTCCCCATGGCTCCTGGGTCCTTTGAACTCAGCCCTTCTTTGGGCCTYATTTTGCTTCCTGGCATAGTAAGCTGCTTCAAAATTATCTGCCTTTTTCTAATCTTAGCCTGGAATCAGCCATTGCTCCAAGGAATCCTGGTTCTTTTAGTGGTGAATAGTATTTATAAACTAAAATTTCAATGCTAGAGGTGAGATGTTTCTTTTTAAAATATCCTTTGAAATGTTTTTCTGCCCCCAGTGACCTGTGTGCGGGACTGATCGGAGGTCTTGGTGTGACCCCAAGTGGCAACATTGGAGCCAACGGGGTCGCCATCTTTGAGTCGGTAAGAACACTCACACATAAGCAGAGTTGGGGTTGGATTGGCATGAGAATTCGGGAGGGGTTATCTGTATGCATAGGCTTTAACTTGGGAGTTTTGCCAATGTAAAAAAAAAAAATGACACTTTGTGTATTTTTTTTTTTTAATGTGGTGCTAATGATCGAACCTAGTGCCTCACACATGGTAGACAAGTGCTCAACCACTGAGCTACAGCCCCAGCCCCTGTATATTGTTTTTTATATAGCCTTGTTTTTGATAATTTCTCTCTAGATATATCTTTATATATCCTTCCTCACTTACAATACTTTACCAAAAATTGACTGGAAAAAGATTGTTGGTCTATATTTTTTGAAATTAAATTTAAAAAGTAGCTCTGTTTCTCCAAGGCTTTTCTTTTCTTCCTTTCTTCCTTTCCTTCCTTTTCTTCCTTTCCTTCCTTCCTCCCTCCCTCAGTACTAGAGATGGAACCCAGTGCCTCACGCATGCGCTGAGCAAGCCCTCTACTACTAAGCTATATCCCTCCAGCCCCTTTTATTCTTTAATTTTTATTTCTATGATTTGGTTMTTTTTTATTGGTATCGGGGATTGAACCTGGGGCCCAGCATATACTAGGCAAGTGCTGTACCACTGAGCCAACTCCAAGTCCTATTTCTAAGATCTGTGTCAGATGAATTGCACATAGTAGTTTTCAATAATTTTTTTTTGTTGTTCTTGATGAGGAAAGATGATTGAGACCCCAGCTTCCCTAGAAGTAGGCAGCTTGTTTTTTTTGTTTTTTGTTTTGTTTTTGTTTTTGTTTTATTACTCATGCTGGGGATCAAGTCCTGGAGCTTCTGCCTTCGAAGCCCATGTTCTACCACTGAGCTCATCCTCAACCAAGGGCTTCTTGTTCTTGTCTCTCTCTTGCTAATGTTACTTTTCTTGATGTGTAGGTTCATGGGACTGCCCCTGACATTGCAGGCAAGGACATGGCCAATCCCACAGCCCTGCTGCTCAGTGCCGTGATGATGTTACGCCACATGGGACTTTTTGACCATGCTGCAAGAATTGAGGCTGCGTGTTTTGCTACAATTAAGGATGGAAAGGTATCTGTAATGTGACCTACTTGTGCTAGGTAAAMTGCATTTCTTCCATATGCATTATCTGCATAAAGGGTACACATAATAGTTCTTAAGAGAACCAGAAGATTTGACATTAAACAGGTATTCTAACTGTGGACTCCCTGAAATGTGCACACACACATGCATTTTCTGAGGTGAGGATCTGAACACTTTATCTGAACAAGGTTAAGGAGCATTGATGGACAGTGTGCAATGGAAAGAGCAGTGGGAGCCAGCCCAGGTGCAGGCCCGGGTATCCTGTTGTTAACTGTATGATCTTGGCCAGCTCCTTTTCTTCTTAGCATAATGTTGTCAAAGCTGACCCCATTAATGAGAAACAAGGAAAGAAAGAAAATCTTATAATTTGAGATTACATTTTAGTCAAAATATAAGAAATGCAAGCTTTTGGGGTTTTTTTTTTTTTGAAGTGCTGGGGTTTGAACCCAGAGCCTCTGGCCTCTTGCATGCTGGGTAAATGCTCTACCACTGGACCACATTCTCAACTTGAAGCTTGTTTTTAATAAGCTGACAGTAACTTTAGGGGTGTTGTCTTTTTTCTGAAGCTATATTTGAAGAATTATGTTCTAGAACCCAGCTAAGAAATGCTTGACTTAAACAATAGACCTTCTTAATTGTGTAGAATGCAGATGTAAGATAATTAAACATATCAAAGTCTGTTTATAGTAAAGAGAGTGAGTTGTTAGAAAACAGATTGGTTGTATGAGAGATTTTTCTTGCAAAGAGTGAAATGTCAGAGTTAGTCATTTAAGTATTTCCTTGGTATTTGTTTCTCAGCCTCCAAAAATAGATCAGAGCCTGTCTAAAATTTTTTCAACTTTAAAAATTCCCCAAGGACTTTTCATGAAACCACTTGTTTAGATTTGTTTTCATTTAAATATCCATGATCAAGCACTATTTTTCTTAGGGTCTAATGTAAGAACAAAGGGAAAATTTTGGAAGATTTTCTTGGTTACTCCCTTTGTAGCAGGAGCATCTCATTTTTTTAGTGTTTTTGTGTATGCTAGCTAGTTGGATTTTCCCAGGCCTTTCTGGTGGGTGGATGGCATGTGATGGAATGACTTTGAAATGAGGAACTAAGCAAGTTATAGCAGGCAAGTTCCTTGCTCAGTTGGCATCTCACTGAGGGCTTTAAATAAAAAATCTTTGCTTTAGTGTAGTATGTGGAAATGTTTTTACTTTTGCTTTTTTCTTTCCTCAGAGTTTAACTAAAGATTTGGGAGGCAATGCAAAATGCTCAGACTTCACAGAAGAAATCTGTCGCCGGGTAAAAGATTTAAATTAATGTCTCTACAGATGGCACTAGCTGCAGTCACTCCCAAGGGACACCACCACATAAACCTCTCTCTAGAATACCTGCTATTATATGTGCATTTGGTTTGCTTGTTCCTTGACAGAGTACATTTTAGATCTGACCTTTTCTTAGGAAAGTCTGTGCAAAGGATGCAGGTGTGATGTCCCTAGGCCTGTTTTCAAAGGACTTTTTCCAAGTATTTCTTTTATTTATTAAATGTCTATCTGATAAACCTTTTTTGTAAACTGTACGTGGACTGTATCATTTGCCATTGTTAACCATTTTACACTTCAGTTAAAATAATTTTTCTTCAACTGTAAATATTATGATACAGATTAATAAGAGAAAACATCTAACTTTTTAAACAAAAGTCCTATTTTCTTTGGTATATGAAAATAAACTGGGATATTGGCATAATAGCACAAGATGACATAAAACTAAATGGGCATAAGAGAAACTTCTTGGGAAAGTTCATATCAAAAATAGTGAAATGATATATTCCTTGATGGTATGGAAAATAACAGATTTGTCCTTTACATGAATTAATATGAATAAAAATTTTAGATCCAAGAAATATATAATGAGCAATGTAATTTTGTTAATAAGATATATAATATATTGGGTTCAAATCCAAAACTGCATTGTGTATTCAATTATTTTGTTAATCTTAAAATTTAATATTCTTTGCAAGAGCTCTTAGTGAAGCAAAGTAATTCTTTTTCACTGGACACATCATATGTATCATGAATTGTCACAGCCTATGAGCCCCTGTACTGACACCCTGAGTTCAGGCCAAGGAGCTAACCATTGTGCACACTTACTCTTGCATGTCACTGTCTGGAAACAGACTGTACTCCAACTGGTACTGCCCAGGTGACACTGCTTAGTGGCCTGATCACTTTTTTGGCTGCAGTTAAGGAACTTGGGTTGTTGGCTCTTGATTTTGCATTTCAGTGGCTTCCCCTTCGCCTCCCTCTAAGCACCAAATCACTGCCCTCTGCCACAACAGCACCAGTAAAAGATGCCATTGCAGAGACAGGAGCTGACAGCTCAAGCTGATTGACAGAATCATGCCATAATGGGTCCTGGGCTTATCCGCTTATGACCTTCAGGCATCTTCTTTCCCCAGCCCCCTCTCTTCTGCTACAGCATGAATAGTTACCCTTTGGCCCCATACCAAATGCAACTCATGTCCTCCCTTGGCTCTTGTGTAAATCTGCAAACYTGTGGCTTTGCATAATGTACCCAGGTCACAAGGGTATTTCTTAACAACAAATATCCCTGTCTGGGTCAGTTTTTAAGCTTGTAACCAGACTTATAATCTTATGTATATTTTACTTTGTTTTAAGCTGCCGCTTCCTCTGATTTATTGGAATGTGCTATAATAATCAGTGGCTCTTGGTTTCACAGTAATAAAGAATTCCAAAACCAATTGAGATGTATGCCTTCTCTGCCTGTTTCCTGGTCAGGTGCCTTAGGGCATTTTGGCTCAGCTTGTTGCTAAGAATGGAAGGGGTGGCCTGGTGGCTACAGGCTAACATTAGAATTGGCGGTTCCACTTGACCCTATCCCTGCACCTTTGTTTAYTCCAGGGCACTAATGGTGCACTAATGGTCACTCATGCCTGTTGCACATAGTCCTGTGGGTTAAATACTACTCTGTCCAGCCTGCTCAATTGACCCCCTCCCAAAAAAAAAAAAAAAAAATTCAGGTACTTGTTGACAGTTATGTTAAAAGTTTAATATTCAAATTACACATTAAATACAGCAGCAGTTTTATTAAGCATCAAGTCGGTGTGTGCATGGTAGAGGAGTGCCTGGTAATGGATAATGGAATTGGCAGTGTTCAAGAAGATTCCAGAGTAAGTCAGACCATTAGGTGAACTATGACTTTTTGCTTTCCTTGCAGCCCACACTAGTAACACAAGCTGTCTTCCCCTCATTCTTCTTCCCCAATAGCCTGTCACTGGTTGACCTGTTATGTGAGCTTGTTAAATCTGCCTGGAACTAAGGCCAAAAATTAGCCCTTTAGTTTTGGAAGGAGAACCAATCTCACTTGTCACCTGAACATGAAACAATTACTTAAGCAGGATTTAAACTATCCACACATGAGGCTTCTCAGATTTGTAGATGAAAGTGCCATACCCTGGCCTTGAGATAATAGATTTTGACAGTTCCCAGGCCCAGATTGAAGAGAATCTAGAGCTCAGGAGAATGCTGGAAAAGCCTGCCATCTATTCAGTAGAAACCACAGGGATGACTCCTGATTACTTGTTTTGCACTTGGTAAAAGGAATCGATAATATCTTTGTACTTCTCCAGAACTATGAGCCGTTTTAATTTCATGGTGGGACCTAAAAGAGAAATTGGAAGAAATGCATGAGAGCCAGGCTCTGATAACTGAGGTGTATGTCAAAGATGCAGACTTAGTGAGTCCCCTAACTCAGGAAGCCAGACAGGTATTGAAGAGCAGCTGAATATCCCACCTCCAAGACAGTGGGCCCCCCTCTGCATCACACCCCTTGCCGTGTTCCAAGGCACCCAGGTCTGTGTGACCTTGAAAAACAGGAAGCGATGTGATGTCACTTCCAGGAATAGGTTGGAAAAGACTACATTTTCCAGTGCCTAATAAAGTGTTGTAAACCACATGCACCTTACCCATTCCAGATCCTCAATTTATTGCAATTGTCTCGTAAATGAATACATGCCTTTGTATCCATGGGGGATTGTTTCCAGGAGCCCCTTTGAATACCTAAGTCTGAAAATGTTTTTAGGTCCTTATATAAAATGATGTACTATTTGCATATAACCTATGCACATCCTATATATTTTAAATCATCTCTAGATTACATAAAATACCAGATACAGTGTAAATGGTTGCTACACTGTATTGTTTATGGAATAGTGACAGGAAAGAAAGCATGTACTGTACATGTTCAATACAGACATAATTTTTTTTCCCGAAATTTTTCACTTGTGGTCTGTTGAGTTCACAGGTTGAAGAACCCATAGACACAGGGCCTATTGGATATTCTACAGATTCTATAAAACCACAAGTCCGTGCACTGAGTAATCGCTGTTCTCCCACAGGAGAGAGATGGTGTCATCCAAAGCCTTGTCTGAGACCCACTGCCCACGGCTACTTCCCAGCACTGCCATAGCCACTGTCTTCCCACACAGCCCCTGGAATAACGAAAAAGAAAAACCTACCCAACTCTCCTCCTGAAATGGAAAAGTCCCTCTCGAGAATGGCCCACTTCTGGATGTGGTAGGGCCGGGCTGCTGCATTGGCATTGACCCTCTGGATCCCCTCTTCAATGGCCTGATACACAGCTTCATCCTTCTTCCCCACGATTTCAGACACGGTGCTGGCTCTGCTGCCCACCCTCTGGCAGAACTCCACAGCTTGTTCAGTCAGATTATCAGTCGGGTCAGAGGTGTCTGGGTCCAGGGTGCACTGAAAAGCCAGAGGACAGATGAAGACCAAGCCTTGCTCTATAGGACACAACCCATGATCTTGGAGGTCTTATTGCTAAAAGCAGAGGTGTGGACCACTGTGAGCTATTTCAGAGATATGGGTCTATAATGAGCTGGATGTCACCAGGTTGGGCCCTGTGGTGTGGTGGAAGGGAATGTGATCTGAGAGAGACCTCAATGAAGTCATCTGTGAAACGGGGCTATCCTCCTGCCTGTCTGCAGCCCTGGGAGCCTGAATCCTTGCTGCAAGGAATGCAGATGGGCAGCAGCACTTTGCACAATGAAATGCACTGGCCTGTTGGGGACAGAGGAATTTACCTGTGTATAACTGCTCCCGGAGTGCCAGTGGCACTGACTGCAGTGATTCCAGAAYAAAAAGCCTTGAGATCCAGACGTCTCCTGGGCTGAATGCAGATTCTGCTAGGCCCAACCCTTAGAGCACCTACCAGCTGCTCCTCCAGAGCAGTGTCCACCCCACACATACCTTCAAGGTGAGCAGCATGGACAGGAACTTCCTCTGGTCCCCGATCAGCATGGCATTGCTGATGATGGGCAGCTCCATTTTCACAGCCTCCTCAATAGGCACAGGGGGTACATTCTCCCCTCCGGCAGTGATGATCAATTCTGGGGAAGCAAGACCAGGCTGCAGCATAGCCTATAGTCCAGGTGCCCTGGCTAAACATGACCTGACCTGAGTCACAGCCTGGGAGGCTGGGAGAACAGGAAGCACTGCTGGGGATGCCTCTGGAGGAAGAGGCAGGGCCAGGCTCTCCAAAGCACCTCGTGCCTGCTGGGGAATGGCAGCAGTTTCCCAGAGGACAACTGCCCACCCAGTATTCCCACTCTTCAGCTCATCTTTCAAGACTTTGCTTGCTCAGACAGTGTAGCCCCAGGCCCCTTCTGTTCTTAAACAGTCCTCCTACCCCATCCTCTGAATAGCTGTGTTGTTCCCCTCCCTCCCTGTGCTTTACCACCTCTCCATCACTCACATGGCACTCGCCACACACCAGTCACCATGCTAGATGCTTCAACAGTCATTCACTCAATCCTCGAAATAAGACTAAGAGGGAGGCTGTCTTATCATTTTGCAGATGAGGAAACTAAGGTACAGAGAGGTTCAGTAACTTTTCTAAGATCACATACCAATAAGTGGTAGAGCTAAGATTTAAATCCAGTCCAGTTCCAAAAGTCCAAACCCACTCTGCTATGGTGCTTCTTGCTGTCCTTGTGTCTCTCTCGGTATGTCCTCCTCCCTTCCCATCTGTCCAGCTCCGTTGCCTCCATCAAGAAGCCTTCTCCAACTCTCCCAGCCACACTGACCTCACCCTTCTCAGAGCTCTTCTAGCATCCTTCTGCCCAACCATTAGTGATAAAAACCCTAAGCAGGTGAAATATGGAAAGAAACTTTTTAAATCTGATAAAGAATACCTATAAAAAATCCATAGCAAACATACTTAATGATAAAATGTTGAGAACTTTCCCTCTGAGATCAGAACTAAAACAAATAACCCCCATCACTTTTTTTTTTCTCCCTTAGTGCTAGGAATCAAACCCAGTGCCTTGTGCATGTGTGCATGCACTCACCACTGAGCTATACCCCCAACTTGACTGTTGCCAATTCTGTTCAACATTCCTCTGGAGAGAGGTGCTAACCTGTGCAATAAGGCAAGAAAAATTCACAAGGGATGAAAGAAAGAAATAAAACTGTTATTATATACAGATGATATAATTGTGTCCATAGGAAATTTAAAGTAAGACACACAGTACTGAACTACTATGTGAACTCATCAAAGTCATTTGATATGAGGCCAACTACCAACAAAAAAAATTGCATTTCTATTACCTGCAACAATTTCCCCTGTGAAATGGGGCTATGGGATTCCCCTGTTGGTGCTAGGGGAATGACACCCATTTGGGCAATAGGATGGAARCATCTTTCCGTGGAGGAATCTCCAATTTACTTTCCTTTCTCCACAGGATAATTCTTTGAAGTTTAATGTTTTACTTTAAATCTAATATTTGATTTGTGTGTTATTCTCTATCACATCTATGTTTGCATATAAAACTACATAAGATTAATGCCTTGAATGTTCTGAAGGTCTTGCCTTTTTGCTCTCTCTCTTGGGGGAGGGTATTGGAAATTAAATCCAGAGGCGCTGAGCTCCATCCCTAGCTCCTTTTCATTTTTAAAAAAATCTTAATTTTTTTTAAATGTCTCACAAAATTGCTAGGTTGGTCTCAAACTTGCTATCCTCCTGACTCAGCCTCCAGAGTTGCTGGAATTACAGGTGTGCACCACTGCACCTGCCCTTGCCTTGTTTCTCTCAGAAATGTAAATCCAGCTCTACCATTTACCAGCTAGGTGATCTTGGGTAAGTTACTTAACCTCTCTGGATGTCCTCATTAAGGCAGGGTAGTAATAGTCCCTGCCCTAGTGGAGAGTAAATAGAGTAAAATTATGTCAGGAAATGTGTGGCACGTAATAAGGGCTCAATGCAGGTAGCAGGTATGAATAATGGTGGAAGCAGAATTTCTCCCATACCTCACTGTGGCCTCCAGTGCCCAGCTGCAGCTGCCATGGGGGCTCACCTTTGAGGCGCCCAGTGATGTAGAGGAAGCCATCGGTGTCCAGGCGGCCAGTGTCACCTGTGTGCAGCCAGCCTTCAGAGTCTATGGCCTCACACGTCTTGTCCTCCATGTTCAGGTAGCCCATGAAGATGGTGCGGCCCCACAGGCAGATCTCTCCAATGCCCTCAGTGTCCTCATTCACCAGCTTCACCCTGCAGCCTGGCACCACCTTACCTGAGCTGAGGTGGAGAGGTGGGCAGGAGGGGGTCAGAGGATCCCATTAGGGAGCCTCAAGTCCCCAACCTCTCAGTCTTCACTGATGACCAGGTATCCCCTGCCAGGGTTTTGGGGGTTTAATGGGGGACTTAGAGCCGATAGGGCCAGCT